AGGATCTACGCTGTTTTTTTTTTTTTTTTACCTTCCGGAGATGGTAACCATCGGAAGTGCCTCGTGGACGAGATTTGAATTTAAGATTTTAGATCCACCATAAACAAGCCCACTCTTCATATACGCAACGGTTTAAGCACATATACTTTGTGCACCAGCTAAATGTCGATCGATGTGATCGAGTCATTGCGAACGGAAAGGGAGCGCTGATCTCCGCAAGAGCGTCGCTGCCACGCAAGAGCGTCAAGCATTTATGCCAAATACAGAGGGGTATTTGCATGCGCGCCGACCATTCTTGTAAACCCCAGAGAGTCAATCAAATTTTTTATTTAGCCCTAATTGTTTGGTAACATTCACTGGGTTATTGGGTTATGAATGTTGCTCCTGGCCGCCACAAGCAACATTCACCTGGGTAATTCTAAGTGTGTAGAGGAAATTTAGTATAGGAGGTAATTATAACCACCTTTGTATGGTGAAGAAATTACATCTCAAGACAGCCCGCCTAAATTCAAAGGAAATAGCACCACTTTGGCTTAGTAAATCCATGTGACTCGCTGATATCACAGGCATATCGAGTCATACAGTAAAACGCCGACACAAAAAGAGAACAAGCCTTTTTTTCTTAGTATTAGATATAAAGAAAGAGAGTTTTTTAGGCAGAATCGCGCCTCTGCTAAAACTCTGGATATAAAATCCAGAGAATATACTGAACTACCGGTGGAGGTGCCCTATAAATAACATGTAAAACCAAATGTCCCGCACAAAAGCCTCATGACAAACATTTTTGCTTGCCTAGAGCTCTTTAAACGATTTAACATTACGTTATTAAGCGTTTTAATCAATTATTATTAAAAAGCTGTAATCCTCGTGTATTTAACCAATCAAGGCTTCCGCATGCTCCCTTTTACGACTTTCCAAATGACTGGTGCTCATTATACTGATCAGACTTAGGATGTAGCGTTCACTCCTTCACGCCCAACGAGTGTAAAGGGTTCTTCTCGTCGACAAAGCTGGTATATTCAAACTTACGGAAGTGAAAAAAAAAAAAAAAACGCTGGAGATGCTAATATTGCTCATGTACGTGTGAGATGTGTACAGAGTTGAATTGATTGGATTGTCGAAAGCATCTACGCACTAGCATAATGCAATATCATTGCATTATTCATTTTTCTCCGAGGTCAGACTTCATTAATTTATTATGGAATACTGCTTTTCACTGCTTCGATGAGCCGATCGCTGCGCTCATAACTTTGCCATAGTTTTTCATCAGTAACAGCTTCACTGGTACAGGTCGTTACTGCCCTCTGCGGATCCATTTCACGGTAGTAGGGAAATTAACGGCATTCTTCTAGCGGACAGCTGCAAGGCTACGTTAAAGAGTATTTTCCATCGAAAGCGCTGAGATTCTCCCATACAAAAAGTGTATTTTGAGTGGTCGGTTTCCTGATGGTAATCGAGGGAAGGCTATTTTTTCCGGGACCAGGAGGGCAAGTTCAAACGGCAGAGCTCATCACCGTCCTCGTATTCTCTCCCAGGACAACAGGACAATTGCCACAACGTAGTTAGCAGTCAGTTTAGATTTTTTTTCAACTCGAGAAGTAAGCTAACAATAGAATCGAACATAAGCAAGAAAGTCCTGCATACATCATACCAGTTCCAACACTCCCGCGCGGCTCCTACCTGCTACTCTTTCCCGAAGACGTCGACGGTGTCATCGACACGCCCGCGTATGCCAAGGGTAAAAGCTCCCGAGGAGCTTCAGCAACTGCCGCACTGGAAGTTAATAACGACGAGACAGAGAAAATAATGAAGATTCCGAGAACCAAGGCGATCACTAGAAAGTTGACCAGCACTGACGCGGAGGGACAACGCCTGGGTACCTGGATCAGACAAGCGGTGTGTGTGTGTGTGAAGAACGCCGGATTCTTTCGCTACGATCAAGTGACCGGTTACTCGGACAGCCGCCTCACAATCAGCACCTTGTCCGGACCGATTGAAGAAAACCCCGACGTTATTTGTGACACCGTATATCCAGTGGTGGCCTTGGTAATGGGCTGTCACCAGTTCGAAGAATCGTCATGGGACTACGAGGAACTGACGCGCATTCACGACATCCTCATGGAAAGGCTTCTTTCCCCACCGACATCTGAGGTCCCCCAGACCGCGTCACCGCTGGCTGAACTCATGCAAGGTCTCCTTCCTGATGTATCTCCGTGTTTCGACAGAGTGGCCAAGTGGGTTGACTCGCATACAGGTGTGTGCACACAAGTCTCAGTGCAACACGTGGTCAACTATGTGTACTTCGTAGACGGAGGCAAGTCAGCGCCCAGCCACGTGAAGGCCTCGCTCGGGACGTCCTTTTGCGATTCTGTAGTCGCCAGTCGAAAAACCGAAAACGCTCCGTCGTCTCAAAACGTGGCACAGACCAACACGTCCAATGCGTCCGGATTCTTCGATATCCTACGAGTAGATGACGAGGGCGAAGCCGCACACGAGGAGGCGCTGGTCGCTAACACGGTGCTCTCAGGGACACTACCAACAGTCATCCTGTGCGAAATGCCCCTCTAAACCGCTTGCAGCACCCCCAGCAGACGTACTCGCTACCTCAAGCGCCTACTAGTGAGCGCAAGCAACGCTGGTCCACTTACGGAAGCATCTACAGCAGAGGAAGAAATTCGCGCCCTCATCCGTATGCACAAGCCTCACCTACTACAGTACCACCTAACGGCCCAACCGATTCCAGCTTCATCTTTAAAACGAACGGCGACTTTGGACATCGATAACTCGGCGGCAAAGAGGAGCAAATTCAGCTTCCACCCTTCAGCTGAACAACGACGAGTGCACGACGCAGTCACAGCTGATGCACACAGAGGTAAGTCTCCATCTGAATTCGTGGAATCTTTGGTTTCAAACTGTGACCTGTGGGCATACCCTGGGGTAGCCACACGAGCATACGACCTGGAATTCGGAAGCCGCGGTCTCTCATTCCTTCACTTCACTCCAGTGGACCAAATGCTGCGAGTCCGACGACAACATGACAGCTTCATCAACATGAGCGACTTTTCGGTCTCCGCAAAGTTTTTGGCGGCCCCAGACCCTTCTTCATGGGAAGACGTTCTTGCTGGCGCCAATGGATTTCAGCATTACCGCTTCACTCGCTGTGATACAGTGACGCAACATCTTGGAACTGCCCTCTACAGCCTTGTCGTGGAGCTTAAGGCTCGTAAGCTGTGGCCACAGGAAATGCTACTAACACTGGTGCTATGGATTGACGCCCAGCTCGAAAGATACCGCAGTGCAGTAGTCAGAGACATCACCGCCGCGCCCTCCACCCGATGCGTGATTGTAGGACAGTTTACGCCCAACAATGTCGAACTTCATGGGCTATTTCTTGCCGAACAGAGAAACCAGTTCGATGCTATTCGACAATCAGCTGCAAACCGGTCGCCTCAAACGTCTAATACGTCGCGCCAAACCCGCAGCCAGCGCAACACCACCGATAAACCCCGAAGAGAGCAAAGCGACAATTACTCTCCACTTCCTCAACAGGATGGCAAAGAAGTCTGTCTTAAGTTCCTCTCGAGAAATGTTGCCCGTCCAGCGATCCCAACGTGTGCATCTTTGCCAGCAGAGCGCACTTCTACCCAGCGGTCATCTCCGACCAACTGCGTAACTATCTTCGAGGAAAGTTTGGCGGGGTCCACAGCAACTACAAGTGAAGAGGTCCAGGAGCCGATGGTTCTTCGCTCCTCGGACATGTCAGCCTGGACCATCAGACGCTAGGTGCTTCAATAAACCCGTCTTCAAATACGCTTCACACGCGTCGTCAGGCGTAGCCATGCGGAAATACAACGTGATGAAGCATCCTAGCTCACCCGACACCAAACGGCAAGAGAGCAGCAAAAGGCACGCTATACCAGTGGTGTCGAAAAACCCAGCAATTGTCAACGAGAACAGCGTCTCAGCGGAAATCGCACCGGTGAGACCAGCATCGGCCGTGGCCGACAGGTTTCATGCAACAGTCAGTACGTCAACCCACGACCGCATTCTCGGCTAGTTCGCGATCACTTAGCTAAGCAATTGGTGGCTAACACCGCCAATCGTCTTGGCTTGTTCAACGAAGCATGGCGGATGCTGGGTCACGTGTTGGGTCCCCACCTCATGATAAAATGTGGTCTAACTTCTCTTTTGACTGGCAACAGATTCCCGTTCCGTTCAGTCTTCGCAAGATCTACTCGACCTTCTCAACTAACTTCAATCGCAAGCACTGGCCGCTGGATCAAGGACGAAGTACGCGTCCACATGGAAACGATGGTCAAAGTGGTGCGCCTCCCACGGTTTCGATGAATGGCTACACGCAAAAGTGCAACAACAGTCCCTTCAGCTCGCCCTATTTGCAGTCCACTACTGGTACTCGGCCACGACAACGACAGGAAAACCACTATCCACGAAAACCGTGTTGTCCGCTATTAGCCACATCTCTTGGTATCATATCCGAGAAAGAGGCTATACGGTCGGCCTCCACGCTGGACACAAGTTGGCCGTGCACGGGATGCAAAGGTTGTCACCACCGGCAAGGCAAAAGCAGCCAGTCACACTTGCAATTCTCCGAGCACTTCGTTCACGATGCAACTTCCGAACAACCCACGATCGC